TTTAAAACTTTTCCATCATCAAGAGCCAAGGGAAGGCAAAATCTTGATCTTCTAGTCCCTAGCGCCAAAAATAAGTCGAAATCGAAGACTGAGTATATAAAAGTGCATTATTTTCTTCTACATGAATCAACATCACTACAAATTCTGAGCCAATAATGCTTTATGTTTTAAAAGCGTATTTTAAAGAATAATTATGGACATATCGGCCTTTTATCTGACATGTTCAAATATTTTATTAATTGCAAACTCAATAATTCTAAAATAACTTCAAAAGGACAACAAAAACTGATCAGTAGGATCATGATTCTTTAAAATTAGAATATGTAATCACACAAAGAGTCCTATGGCGGCTACATAATCAAATTATTTTGAATCCATGACCATCAGCATGGTAGGCCCGTTGTGGACTATAATCTCACAGAAAGCTCTGTGACGTTAATATAATCAAATTGTTTTTGACCCACCCATAACATGCAGAGTTGACTCATACTGGACTTCCACACCAGTGACAGACACCAAAATCCTTCTATTCCTGCAAGAAAAGTACTCTTTGGTTCAAGAGTGAGAGCCAGTTCTTTCCGGCCACTACTTCATTTGCGGTTCTTGAGTTTAAATAAATAATGATCGAAGTTTAACACAAATTGGCGAGAGACTATTACTTGGTGGATGCAATTTCCGGCCAAGACCCAAGTTTTTTTCCAACTCCCATTAACCCGATAGTAAGCAAGTTAAAAGATCTCGTTTGCATTTCAGCCATTATAAAATATCTTAATGTTCAAAGGAAGCTTAGACGCTCTATTTAGGCATGAGAAAGTCTTTATCTGATCTGATATAATCTTACCATTTTTGTCCTCACAGCATTAAAGGAAGAGTAGCCCGCCAAAGAAACAACTCTAGAAAAATTTACAAAATGCATAAGGGAATGGGCTAGGGATTAGTATCTAATTTAGTAAAGAGTTTTTGGGTCCTTATCACATTTAATCTACGTATCTATTTATATATTCTCTTTACGGAAAATTACATACAAAAGTGCTGAAATACCATATAAAAATACAAGGCTGCACGCAGTAAGTACTAAAATCTCGTAAATGGTATACAATTAAACACAAAAAGTACTAAACTGATTGCGGGGTATATTAATGGTACTAAACTTCAAGCGAAAATTACTGATTACATGCAACAAGTACTAAAGTATTTATTTACTAGGTACTTTTAGTAAAAAAAAATTTTTCAAAAATATAGACTACTCTAAAGCAAATCTTAAATAAAAATTAGAAATTCTTCAAAAAAACAAACATATTCACAACAACATACAGAAGCAAAATTTCTAAATTACAACAAAAAATTCAAGCAGCATAGGAACTACTACTCAGTACTTTCTAAATACTGCTATAATTATAGCAATGGCATAAAAAATCGTTAGCTACGTACATAGGTACTTAGATGCTTACTTATGTAAATTTAACAAGTAAGCTGTGCACTCCCTTATCGGTACATAACATATTCATTGTACTATGAAGTGAATATAAAAACGTTTATTTAAAAAAAATCAAAATACAATTAAATAATTATAACTTAAATTGTACTTTATATCGACCTAAAGTAATTGAATTTTAATTAATTGTTGTAGTTGATCCAATAAATGCCAATTTGACTAACACCAAACCGTAATAAATAAAATTAGAAAATAAAACAATTATAAATTTAAACGGCTTAGTGCTTTTAAATTTTTTTAAATTTCGTGTATGTAGTTGTACACACATTTATTTCTAAAAATTTCTCCTTTTACAACACTCTGCCGCCAGTTGCAGAGTTCAAAGTTGAGAAGAGGCGTGCCGGGAATTATGAGATAGTTGAGCAACAAAATAAGAAATAAATAAACCGACTACTATTTGCCACATCTCTGATCGCATGTAAACCAAAAAAAAACAAATATTTATTAGTTTTCGTATTTGCATTTACATAAAGTGAAAATAATTAAACTAATTAATTACATAAAAAACAAGCTCAATAGGTTTAAAAATTGATTTCAATTGGCGAATTTCGCGTAATTTTCTGTACTAATATTTAATTTAAATACCGTTAATTATACATATGTATGCTCATATAACACATATGACTTATAATCATAAGTAACTAGTTTGTATATTTTGTGATTAGCTGTAGGCAAGGCGAGCAAAATTCTATACACAATTATTGCAATTAAATGAAAAGATTACAAATGGAAAAACAAATACAACAAAAATTAACCATTAATCGTGTGTCTATGAAATGTCTGAATTTGAAGGCGAATCAAAGCGCAACAACGACAAATCAGTAAAGGTCATAAAGCCGATGAAGCAGATCAGCTATATATAAACATATTGTATATTATGTTATTATATATATATATATATAAAGTATAAACGTTTATATATACATCCTTAAATAGTATATGAAGATGACAAAGTGATAAGTGATTTAAATCATTAGTTAATATGTAATTGAAATTATTATGCATTGGTGCATGCCAACATCAACAACAACAACAGTAACATTGAAAGTATTCAAAGGAAATTCAATGAATTTGATGTTATATGTACAAATAGTGTTAAATTAAGAACAACAAAAAAAATATATTGAAAAGTGTTTAAATCATGTTGAAGGTGAATGAAAGGAAATGGAACCACTTTAGGGGTATTCACGCCAGTTTTGTTAATTATTTAATCGTTATTCGGTAGTATTTTACGTGCATTTTGTTTTTGTAAAATTAAGAGAGTTCTACCGAGTATCGAACTACCATTGTGACAAGCTTGATCAATTTTTAGTTACTTGGTATTTTAAAATTTCATTTGATTCATTGCGAAAAAAATACATTTGCTGCTCGCTACAAAATAATTTTAGACAAAGTTTTCTAAAATAATATTTAATAATGCTGAGATATAGCAAAAAGTATGTTCACAATAAAGTGTTTTGACGAAGTATCAACTCACAAATTATCAAAATAACATGCTCGGTTTGAATACTCCTTTTAAAGATTTAGGTAAGTAATACAGTAAACCACGAAACCTAGATGGGCGATTGACATTTCTTAAAATAATTCGGTACCTAAAAAATGTTGCTAATTAAGTTAGGGTTTTATCCAATGTTAGACAGTCAAATAGTAAAGAAGCATATGCTCCATTTCAAGATGAAACCTACTTCCATAATGCCTTCGACATGCAAGCCATATCAGGCGATTCTGGACTTCATGTTCTGCATGTACTTAATTATATACTGGGTATAAATGTCAAACACATATGTTTACTAGTCAGCTGGTTCGACCGCTTTCTGAGAAATTTTATTCCCCTAAAGAATACCCTCTACAAGATAGAGTTAAATGGAAAACAGAGATATACACTTATTTACTCAAGATGGGACCAATTCTCATTAGCAACTTGTATAGTTATTATTTTAATTCATTCCCCCTCTTGGTAAAAAAAAAATGTTTGCAGAAAAAACCAATCTAAAGCTATAAGAAAACTATGTTTTAACTACATATTATTCTTCTTTAGTAGTAGAAAGGACCTTGGTGGTCGGCTTTGTTCAATAAGGAGTTATCCCATAGTAACCAACATCATAACCAGAGAAACTGGTATACATACTTTATAACACATACCAACTTACCTACGTCTACGAAACCTATTAACAGCCATAAACTATTTTAACTACCGTCGGTGGGCAGGCTGAGCAAGACTCGAGGAGGAGGCCAAAGCGGATCTTCCGCCGCGTCCTCGAACTCGGGTCTGGCTTCCAACCGAACCCTCCACCCCAGATGAAATCAAGGAGATTTTTCGCTATTGCAGTCCTTCTCTACCCACCCACGACTGTAGAGTGAGTTAGCTGGAGAGGACCGACAAGCCATATCAGCAGGCGCTGATAATCCTACACAAGGAGTCCTTGAGTGAAATGAATGTTTTCCTTTTGCTGAGAAGAGCTCTGCAAGAGACAAGATAAACAATAGGCGGATTTTCTGCTCGCTGTAGTTTTATGGGGTTATTATTAGGCGGTGATTGAAGCATTCGAAAATTTTTAAGATGAAATCTAACCTTAATCACCCCATATATAGTCTTCTTTGCGACAGAATTGAAACATCTTGGCAGTTTTACCTTCGCCGAATCAGGGGACATAGCCGAAACTGACATTAGCCGCCTTAAAAAATTTGTGATAGGCTCAAAGCTTTGGTCGATTTGGGAGAGTCTTATGATCAATTATAGAAGAATTTATGGTACCACACAGACCGGCGTTCTAAGCTGTTAAGTGAGGTCACAGTTAGGATTGAACACTTAACCTAACGTAACTTACCGACTCGAAATAAAAAGTTGTACTATGGAGTAGATAAGTCATAGAGGTGATACAAAGGACTCATTACTAGAAGACATCGGTGTCGGGATAATCTTCAGTTATAGCTAGTTCTCTGACTTCCGCAACATGGTTTGCATATGCAGTCTTTGTGTGTTTATCCTTAAGTGGTTTTAAGTGCATGTTTATAGAACCGCAAGGCCGAGGTGTGTTATATATAATACAGTCAATTTATTTATATATGTGACAACTGTTATTAAAAAGAAAACAACACAAGGCTTGTTGTTTACAGAAAATATATTTATTTTTTCTTCATGACATTTTTACACTACGTTGTTCTAATATAATAACTTGTATATTTGCTGTGGTTTGACTATTAGTTTTGTTTAAAGTCAATTGTAGCTGGAATATCTTTTTTTATTGAACATATACTTTGTGTAAGCACTTTATAATTTTTTCGAAAGACTGTTTCCGACTCTCGAGCATCCTAACTGTCTCTAACTATATTAAATGATCTTTTTGCACAAATGTTTGATAGGAGCTGTGTTGCATTTAAATTATTGCGCTGTATTTTAAATGTCAGAGTCTACTAAAACATCTAAAATTTTTTTTCAATTCATGCTCAACTTTACTAGTATAATCAGCCAAATATTTTGATAAGGTGAAATAAAATACAATTATTATCGAAATAAAATTATTTATTAATAAATGGCATAAGATTAGTTTAAAATAAAATAAAATTCATACTTGATATTACAGTAATGCTTCTCGAAGAATCTAAATAAATGTAATTATGATAAAAGCAAGCCTGAACAATGAGCAACTTGTCATTTATACACCTCTAAGGTGCGCCACTTTTTTTTAATTTTTAAATGCTTGCTCATTTAACCCTGAAACAGGTTCAAACAGTTCGACAACGTAGTCTGATAATTGTAGCCCAATTCGCCTTTGCAGCCATAGCCTCCCAGCTTGTGTATGGCCGCATAATCAAAGCAATCCACTTGGTTGTCGCCATTGCAATCCTGTGCGTACTTAGTCATGTAATTCTGTATGGTATTCGCAGCGCAGTAGGGATCACTTACGCAGTTGGCGTATGCTGTGAGGATGAGCGGAAGGAAAAAATTTCTTAGTGCCTCATTATTGTTGTTGGTAAACACTTACCTGTTTCCGATTCTGGGGACTCGCCATTCAACGTAAGCTTACCACCGTCAGACCAGTAGGGCCAAGTGATGCGGAAGAGGCCACAGACGCCGCCAGTACAAGTGGCCGTACGATTACAACCGCTGATGGCCTCGCAAATACACCCCAGGCAAACGTCGGTGACCGGTTTTTCTTTAAATAACAAATGAAGATAATGAGATTGTTTTGTTTCATAAAAAACCAAACAACAATAAAAAGACGAAGCTTATGATAGACAAGTTTTATAAGTCGTTCAAAAGATACGCAGTACAGTTATAAACACACATACTATATATGTACGTTTAATCTTATTTCATATAACAGATTCATTCAAAATTCTGACAATGAATGGGTTAACCCAAATTAATTTTTTACACTTCTTTAATTATCTTAGCTTAAGGGGTAATAGTTTTAAAAAAACTTCTGATGATTTGATTAACTATATATGCAAAGGCTCATATTAACTACACATACCCTCAAGGAACAATTTTTTTGCCCTGAACAGGGTATATTAAGTTTGCCACGAAGTTTGTAACACCCCGAAAAGTCGGACACCCCATAAAATGTATATATCATATAAATGATCAGCTGAGTCGATTTAGCCCTGTCCGTCTGTCTGTGTGTCTGTATATACGCAAACACCTCTGTTTTTAAGATACCGATTTGAAATTTTGCACATGTCCTTTTCTTCACAAGAAGCTGCTCATGTGTCGAAACAGCAGATGTCGGACCACTATAGCATATAGCTGCCGATCAGAATGAAGGCCTTGTAAGGAAAACTTTTGTATTTGACGAGATATCTTTACGAAATTTGAAATGAGTTATTGTCTAAGATAATGGTGCGATCTCCAAAGAAATTGTTATTATCGGAGCACTATAGAGTATAACTGTCATACAAACTAAACGATCTAGTATTACTAGTATTTGTAAGGGTATTATAGCTTCGGTGCAACCGAAGTTAACGTATTTTCTTGTTCAATATAAGTTTGTTCAACTTATTGCATTTTATACCCAATTGAAGTTTTTTATTTAGAAAATGTTACTGCAAATTTTTGAAATTTTACTTAAAAGTACATGCAAGCCCAAAAAATATTTAAAGTTTTAAAATGGTAAAATTTTCGTAAGCATATTGAATATTTTGATTATTTTACTAATAACTTATTTAAAGTACGCAAGTGAAATGAACAAGCAATCATGAAAACCTTAAGGCCGGGAAGGGCAGAGTGTTGATGTGTGCCTACAAGTTTTGCAGGCCCTGTGTTCATGGGCTGAGTTAAGGCGTGATGTTTTTTTTGCTCGTGCCACTTGGTAGCTCATCGACTCTATATCTGGGTTAGTTAAATATTGTATATTCAAGGTGTTGCTATCAAATGCTTAAAAATTTCAATAATTAATTACATCAAAAATGTAATTATATTTGAACTAATTGCATTACAAAATTTCGAAAATTCCATTTCAACAATTTTTCATTAATTTGCATTTAACTGAAAGTTCAATGAAACCTGGAATCAAATGAGGCTCGAAAATGCAAAATTAAAATTCAACAAAAATATTGCGACACAAAAGAATCTAGTCTAACTGGATTTTAAGGGGAATATATAGAAGACGAAACTAGTCGAAAATATACGTGCGTGTGTGTGATTATAAATTTATGTGTTTATAATCTAAATCTCAATTGAATTACGACAAGTTTAGCTGCAGTCACATAAATTCGTTTAATTTATGTTTATGATGCATGATATTGAACTACAACAACAAAATAATCAGGGAATTTCAGCGTGAAAGTTATAATTTGTGATTTCATTTTGCGTTTGTATGTTTCATAACACGAGAAGATGTTTGACCGAGTTTGTCCTGCAAATTATATTTACGTCTCGACTTTATTCTACAAACGCTCTAACCAAACCTAACAAGTTTGAAATACTTTCGACCGGTTTTCTGATTTAATTTATTGTATATCATTCTCATATCAGAAATGAACTCAAAGTTTTGACCTTGCCTGTCAAGTAGCTACCTTTACCAGAAATAACTTTAAACCATAAACAGAGTATATTAAGTTTGCTACGAAGTTTGTAAAACCCTGAAGAAAACGTCGGATCTTAAAAAGTTTATATATTAATGATTAGCGTAACGAGCTGAGCCGCTTAAGCCATGCCCGTCTGTCTGTAATTTTTGGGATATTGATCTGATATTTGGCACACGTCCATTTTTCTCCAGGAAGCTGCTCAATTGTTGGAACCGCCCATAGCATTTCACTATAGAATATAGCGGCCATACGGGATTTTTTCCTTATTAAGTAACCTTAATTCGACTTGAATGTAAACCGTTAGCCAGTTACGTTTTCAGAGTTTTGTTATACATACAGTTGATGTTAGAAATGCACTTGTGAGGAGGATTATAGTTAACGTTTTTATTGTTTTCTATAAGTTTATATTGATTGACGCTCTATTACTAATATTGGAACATGCTTCGAGCTATAACACAAATAATTCTAAATACTATAACAACTGCATATAACTAACTAGCTTGTGCTGAAATTAGTAACTTCTTCGATTTAAAAAAATACTCTCTCTAAATTTGCCAATAATATGTCAATAATTGATATGGTCCTGAATGAGAACAGGAAATAATTCAGTTTTAATCGATCCGGATATTACTATTCTCATTGGAATCTCAGTTTTGCTATTGACAGTTCTTGTACAGAAATTCTGAACAGTTTTCTCAACTTCGTACTTGGATGTCGACACCACAAAACTGTATCTTGATTCCCGAAATAAATCGAATTGCCACGATTTCCGAAGAAATAAGATTATAAACTCCGTTCTTGAAAACTTCAAGCACACTTAAGTGACTGTTGCACCAAGGTAGGAGTAATAAGCAATCATTATACAATTTTTTCTGTTATTTGCATTATTTTTCATAAATAACAATATTTTTTGGTATTCTGATACATTTTGTGGAGGAACTCGTTTCCTGCCAGTTCTTCTGCAAACTTTACCACAAAATAAACTTGACTTTAAACATTTAAGTGGACTTTGTTTTACAATTTTTCGCTTCTCTTACTCAGCTCAACTTGATCTTGAGTTTGCTGTGAGGAGCATTGCCTCGTTTAAATAGACTACTCAAGCGTATAGTTTGCATTTCCGAAGCATATAAGATCAGTCGTACAGTATGTGATGTAAATTAGCATACCTGTTGGAATATTTTCAAGCTCTTTCGAATATAGTGACAATTACAGATTTACATTAGCTCTCACACCTCTAGATGAGAGCAAAGTTCAACGACATCTAAGTATAAGAAACCAAGAACAATCATATCCCCCTGATGCACCCAACTGGTAGTACGTGAAATAATTTAATAATTGTATTATTTTATAATACTCCAAACCTCTCCGGCTACTAAGCTTAAAGTAGCAGCTGCTGGTAAACATCAGGTGTTGAAAAGTAGCGGTATGTTGCGAAATATATTTCATCTACTCTTCTCGACACAAACTTTATCATTTATCCTTTCTCTCGATACTTTTAGAAACTGCTCTAAAGCATATAGTATTGAGATCTATGATGTCAGTACCGCGAGCACATATTCTGATCGACTGACATCCAAAAAATCGTTATATATTATACAGTAATTGAATTGAGTATTCATACTGGATATTCGGAATGGCCCTTAGAAGACATTCACTATCATGTCATTTGTGATAAGTTCAAGTGAAGCTGAGCTTCTTAAGGTTGAAATTTATTACTAAAGCCCCCAAGATTTTCTTCAAGTAACTCTGCAAATCATTTTTAAAATGTGCAATAAATAGAAGTTTTAAGATGGTGTAATTATCTGTAGAGATCGACTATGATGACAAGCTAACCGAAATATTCGTCATCAGATGTACATACATACGATATATGTATATATAATCAAGCAAAAACTTTTAAACACAACTTTTCTCTAGATGCATTTCGATAGTAAAAAGGTCAAGCTGGTCTTAAAGAGCTTCATTGCTCTCTTTAGATAGCAAAGCCAAAATCCATGATTTTTTTTTGGTATAGTTCTTGGTTATTGTGTTAAGAAAAATATAAACATGAAAAAAACGTTAATTTCGGCTGCACCGTAGCTATAATACTCTTCACAAATAAAAAAGTTTCCACACAAGAACTTAATTTTGATCGAACGAGCTATATGATAGTTATCCGATCTGAACAATTTGTTCGGGGATTACACCGTTGGTACATCACGTCATCATTTATAATTATGGTATATTTTTTAGGGTTTCCGACGTTTGATTCTAACTGTTACAAACTTCGAGGCAAACTTAATATATCTTGTTTAACATAAGATAAGATAAAAACAGCAAATGGCTCACGGTTTCATGACAGTAATGAGAAACTCAACTTCATAAATATTCGAAGCTCAAATTTCCTATTGGTTAACATATTTAGTGACGCATGCAAGCTCTCTAGCTAATAAGTTGCTCGTACATGCGTCCATGAACTTCGTCTACGTCCAACTGCGCCGTTACCGGTACATCTTCCAAACTACAAAAGCCATACTAACAATGCTCGCAGAAACACTCACATGTGAGTATGTAGTAGCACTAGCCTACAAACAAGACTAGTTTGACAACTTTACACTTACTCCGTTGTAAATGCGAAAATGTTCTTGCCTCGCTGTGGCGTGTCATAATAGCAGTTGCAGCTGCTACTAGCTAGCTACGGGGCGGTCGAGTTGAATTCCAGCGACATACTCGTACATATATTTAATACCAGAAATACCCATTAACTTTGAAAAACGAGTCGCTAGCTGCGCATCAAGTTGATTCATCTTCAATTGCTAGAAGCATCAACAAATTAACAAACTAGCCTTGCTGGTCAATAAACATACTAAATTTCATATCTTATAGTTAGTCTTGAATACACTGATTCATATATATACTTGTATTAGAGTATTTTTATGTAAATAAAATGATAAAAGCGACGCAAATTAATGACTTGAACTTGAATATTCTCTACAAAATCCGATTGATTGAGCTCATTTGGGAGTGAAATGCAAATTGAATTAAAAAAATATGTAATTTCTAAAATGAATTTAGAAAACAGCTAATATTATATATAAAATTCTCTTGTCTCGGTGTTTGTTGCCAAACTCCGAAATGGCTGAACCGA